TTTTTGATGACTTTTTTTTTTGAAAATTTAACTTCTACCATTTGTACTTGAAATATTGCTGCAAGTTGGTAGCAAAAGAAATTACCATTTCTGTCAACAGCAGCAACTGTAAATGAAATTGAAATTGTTGAAACGTGCATGGAAATAGTATTACTAATTCAAGCAGTCAAACTTTGACAACAATAAGTTTAATTATTTCGTAACAAAATACTTTTAAATGACAGTAATGATTATTAAATTGTCAAAAATTAATGAAAATCGTTTTCAAATGAGTCTTCGGTTTTACACTCAAATAAATTTTGATACTTGATTAAAATTTAATTGTTTGAGGTGATATTAAACCAGAATTGATGATTCACTAGTCTTCTGAAACATTTGAATTGCTGAAAAAAAAGCTGTCCAAAATTCAAAAAAAAAATGATTGATATTTTTGTTAAATTTGATTATCCAAATTTGTTTATTCAGCGGCAAACGACAAATTCATTGGCGATATACATTGAAAAAAAGTTTGTCATCAAATATCTCCTATCGTTGACAAAAAAAAAAATTTTTTTGAGGGTTGAAAGAGAACCGTGATTAAAGATCGTGCAGCTCTCATTTCTTCTCTTTCTTCAGTTTATTTCAAATGTTGCTATTATTGAATGTGAGCGGTGATGATGAAAGAGACAGTAAAGAAAAGTAACATAAATTGCACATTGATAACTGAAATTCATGCAACATTTAATCAAATCGGTAGGAAAAAGAATTTTATGCTATTCCAAAAAATTAAATATTTCGATTGCAAACAAAATAAATTGTCCTTAATAAGAAATGATAATCACTGTTAATGTAATAATGCATGCATGCATGCATGTATGCATGTTACATTAGCAATATTGCATTTGCTCGCATATTATCAGACATACAGTATTATACACGTATGATATATAACACATTTATGGTAATGTTTGTTATCACAATATCTAAGATAGTGCTGTTTACGTGACTTATTAACAACAAATGTGCAGTTTATGATTTTTTTAATATATTGTAATGTGATTGATTATTCTTTCATTCATTCATTTAAAATTAATCTGCTCTAACAATTAGGATTAGTTTTTTTTAAAAAAAATTAAATATTTATATCGATGCTTTAATACATAAGCAAATAACAATCATTCCATTCTATTCTACCACTGAATTTTTTTGAATATAGAAAAGAAAAAAAAATTGTGTGGACATCATCTTAATGCTTTCTTGCCTACTACAGTTTGGAGAAGGGAAAAAAGTAGTGGCATGAATAATGAGCATTTTGAGTATTGAGATGTTAATCGATCACTCTTTCTATCACTACGATCAGTTAGATATATCATATCAGAACTGATAGGAACAACAGTGAATCTCATACAGAAATCCATAATATACATCATTTCAGTGCTAATTACTACTGCAAGTTGTTTGATATCAATTAATTAGAAGAAACAAATATTACATAATATTCTGAAAATTATTTTATTCTTTATTAGCTATTTTTGTCAAACTAATTCGTGAACATTTTTTATATGAATAATAGGAGGAAAGTAATGGCGTTGAAATGCATTTTGATATGAGTAGAATCGATCAATCAGTATTGATTTACTTGTTAGATGACAAAGAAATGAAAAAAAAAGATTGATCAATATCTTACAAATAATTAATAATTCGTCTTTAATTTCATCTAAAATGAAACTTTCACAAATTTGTTACGAAAGGAATTCATCTAAAATCATTTCCGCATTCTAATAATGATGATGAGTGATCAGGGATTAAGAAATACGATTACTAACAGTTACACAATCAGAGGAGTGTGTAATATTATATAGTTTTATTTATATATATATATATATATAATTATAAAAAGGTCATTGGAACATGACAATAACAGATGACAAAAATAATTAAATTTAAATTTAGTTGAAAGAACACTGTTCGGTGAGTTTTATTAAGCAACTGCAAAATTGGACGTTCATAATTGACTGAAAGTAGGATATAGCATTCTAATTTACTTTCCACATTATGGTTTCTCATTAGCAATATACTGATCGTAGTTAATTATCATCAAGATGAGATTTTTAATTAGGAGCTACAAAATCACATAACATTAAATTTCAAATCGTTTAATCAAAATTAAGCCCAAAATTAGAACTAAATGCGAAAAAATTAGGAATCAAAATGAGATTACTAAAATAGTGATAAAATGATTAAAGTATTATGGGGAAAAGTATCTCAAATTTTCATGAACTAGCTAACTTAATTTTTGCTTTTCATCATACAGTCCTGAATTATCGCAGAGCCAAATTATCAAACTATTTCAGTTTATCTGACGAAATACAAATTATGCTACGATATGTTTGAAGAAAGGGAAGATAATGAAAAAGATGGAAAATTCAGACATTGATGATTACTTTTATATAATAACCACAAATATCTTTTGTCTATCTGTTTTGTGACAAATTAAAATTATTCCTGTTTTTCAGTACAACGGCTATCAAATATTATGAAAACAAGTTCTTAAATGGGATACATATTATGTTCTTCAATTAATTTATTATATACCATTAAATCTGTTATGCTCTTAGTTCGTATCTAATTAAATATCAATTATTTTTAAAATTCAAATCATATTTTTTAATACTATTAGCACATAAATATCGCTTATTCATAAGTTTAGAGATAAATTTGTAGCGCGCAAAGATGAGCATATACATTTTGCTTCCGATTAACAGTATCGCTCCCACATTCCTGTTGGTGGTCATTTAAATTCCGTTTGGTTAGAATGATATGTTTGCCGGACAAAATCAAATTATTTCATGATTTATCAAGTCTATCAATTTATCAAATCAATTTATCAATTTATCAGATTTGAAGAGACTTATATTTCACTAATTACTTTCTTAAAAATGGAAGCAACAAAATTAAAAAAATTCAAACTTGCATGTAACTTTTTAATGTTTTAGCGTAACAGAATTAATGAAATCTAGGAAAATTGCACCAAAAAATGAAATGAATTACGCAAATGTGTGAGACAGAAAGACTTGCATAGCGGCATATTCGATGTGTGTTAATGTGAAAGAAGAAATGCTTCTTGAAAAAAAGGACTTTTCTCAGCATATAATTTTAATTTGAATAATAAAATGAAACTATTATTATTCAATGGATTAAATGGAAACACTGAAAGATCCTTCTCAATCTATTCTATTTGAAAACGAAAGGAATATGTAAAATTGAGGAAATAATATGAGAAGTTTCATGATGCTGCATGAATTAGTCTGTACCAATTTTACTTTTTCTTATACTGGCTACTTTATTCAATAATTTTTGTTGGCTGCAAGTTAGAGGAAGAAAAATTTTATTTCAGAAAAATATTTAGTGCAATTTAGAATAAAATGCAAACTAATGCTTGACATTTAAGATTTGCTAACAAGGAAATGATACGAAAAGTTCATGTATATGATTCTACTTTTTCTTATATTTGCTACTTTAGTGAGTAAATTCTAATGGTTTATACTACATTAGATGATGTCAATTTTGATTCTTCTAAGAGGCATGGAAAAAGTATTGAAATACAAGTTAATATTTTATTCATCATCAATACATGAAGTTCTGATAGAACTAGAATATTCTATGAGCTTTTCATTGTCCATTGGAAGTAATGTAAACGTCTCGAAAATAGTATTTGTTAATCGATTAATTGTACATAATAATTAATTTCATTCTCAGAAATTCAAAATTTACGATTCCAAATGTACAAAGAAGGCGAGTGATATTCAACGACATAGTAATTTACGCCGTAGAAAGAGCGCATATTCCAAAGGTGATTTCAAGGTCAGTCAGTAATTTCAAGGAGTCTGCTATCATTACATTACATTTCACTGTAACTTCATTTTCACGCCTTTATATATTTATATCTTTCTATCTTCTTGTGAATATATCGAGATGAAGGAGAGAGAGAGAGAGAGACAGAGAGAGAGAGGGAGAGAGAGAGGGAGAGAGAGGGAGAGGAAGAGATGGAATTAATGAAATACATATATGTCATTACTATTTCTTTAATATGTCGTAGCTATTGACCTTTATCACAGTTATCATCATTATTTAATATCGAATAAACAAACAAATAAGTAATGTTATTTTATATTTTAAACTTGAAAATATACTCAAACCGAAATTTCATTTATTTCGATCATTTTCACTGCTTATCAAGAGTGGAAATATCTTTTTAAGCTACTACCATATTAATGCCACAATATATTTTAAAGTTAAAAGAAAAGAAATTAATGAAAAAAAAATTTTAATTGAACAAAAAAAAAATCATCGAGAATGCAGAAATGAAAAAATAAAAAAAGGAAAAAATTGAAAAACCGAAATCATATGGCATGAATTTTATTCACAAACCAAATGTGGAAGTAATTTGAGAGAAAATTTACGGAATAATCCAACAAATGTATCAAAAAAAAGTCGAAGATAACAGATGAAAGGGCAAAAATGGAAAAAAGGAAAAAAAAATAAACGGTATAAATGCGTAATATTGCTGCATAATGGAAATGTAATAAAAAAATACATCAAAGATGAATTTATTTTGTTGAAAATTTTGAGATTTAATAAACATGGGAAATTAATAGGTATGAAAAAAGGGAAAATATTTAAATTTTATGAATAAAGATAAAGAATTCAAAGGGAAGAACGATGAACCAATGTACAAAAGAAGAAAAGTGATGATGATAATGACGATGATGATGATGATGATGATAGTGGTAATGATAATGATGATGATGATGATGATGATAATGGTAATGATAATGATGATGATGATGATGATAATGATGACGATCTGTTGTTATGTAAACAGCCTGCTGCGAAATAAAATTATCAGTATTGCCAATTTTATGATGTCATTATTTCTACCACTGGTGATAAAATTTTTGTTGCTGTTCGATTTCGCGGTCACTTACATTGTGTGTACATAATTTTTATTTATTTATTTATTTTTTAACACTCACTAATCAGTATAATCTTCCATATTTCAATACATTGAATGATTTTTAGTGAAAACTATGCAATTAAATTACTTTGATTTTTTTAGCAAAAAATTATGAATTTTAATGTTAATAGAATTTTTGCACTTTTCATCAAACATCGTAACAATCCTTAGAATGTATTCTTCTTACATGCAAAAGTTAGATAGGTTTAAATTGAAATCTGTCAATCTTTGATTTTACCACTTGCATTGAAAAAAATTTGGGAACATAAATTTCCAAGGATATTCCATTTCATTAAGTTAATTCTCAATTTACTTCACGACTTCTAATCATCAACTTGTTAATCTATAATTAATAAATCGAATATATTTTCTATTCCTTAACTAATATGATGGAAACATTTTTATTGAAAGATAATATCGAATATAAGTATACGCAAATATCACTCTTTTTCGACAGCAAAATTTTACATAATAATTTAAAAATTATGTGCCCGTTTGATGTATGTCCAAATGTCATAGCTTAACTGACTGCACTATTCTTTATAAAAAAAACAATTCATTTTTTTAAAATAAAAAAACAATCCAAGAAAAAAGAAAACAAGCCATTTTTTAATAGAAATTTTTAAATTTAAATAATGGTAGAAATAATTGAACAGTTGTCACTATTTTATGTGTGAAAATCTCAGTTACGAGTTTTGTGATGTATATTTAGCACAACGAAGTTATTTCCAAAATAAAAAATGAATATTGAACAGAAAAAGAATTGCTGCCTACAATAATTAACAAAACATTTGTTACTGCTAATTTTTATTTTTTAAAAATGGATGAAATTTATTCATATAAAAATTATCATTTAAATAAAATTGATAATCTTGCCAAAAATTAATCCTTGTGATAAAGTTCAGTTTCAGTTTCCTAGCCCATTAATAATTTTAATATCCAATAATTTATTTATTGTTTTATTAAAGCAGACCAGAATTTATGAATATTTTAAAGACAATAGAAAATTAGTTCTGGAAAAATCATATCCCTCTTTTTATTTTTCTACTTTTTTTTCTTTTTTTTTCTTTTGTTTCCGTTTTGGAGACAGTAAATGCTAAGATGGGGAAAATAAATAAGTTCACAGGAAAAAACTCAATAAGAATGAAATTATTTTTAAATTCAAATTTTAATTAGAAAAAGACATGAAGATAATCAACAGTTCAATTGATACAGAAATGAAGATGATCAGTTTTCGTTCCAGTGATTTGAATAAGAGATATCCGAACTTTTTTCAATCATTGGTAATTCTTTTGTCATCCATCCTCTTTCTCTTTCTTTCTCTCTCTCTCTCTCTCTCTCTCAGATTATATCAAATTTTTTGAACAACTGTTTCTGATAAACTATCCAATTTGTTACCGTTACTATCATTTAAATGAAATATTTGATTAAACAGCACTAACAGAAAGTTTTATTGCAGTGATATTTGCTCTTCCTATTTCAGTTGTCAAAGTGGGCTCTCTTCTCAAACTAATCATTTCAATTTGCTCATTAATGCTATGAAATTTCATTTCTGACATTTTTTTTTTGCAGATAAACTAAAGGAATCTTTAAAAGGAGTAAAATGATCGCATCAATAAATAAAATATTGAATAGTAAGTAAAAATTGTTTAAACAAACGATAAGGACAGCTTGAAAATAATCGTATAATTCGATTAAAAGTTACTGAATTAAAATTGGATTGATAAATAGCAGAAATAATTTAGAATGAGATCTTGATAGAAAATTAAAATATAAAATACCATTTTTTAAAAGAAATAAATGAGGTGGAAGAAGAGGAGAGATTTATAACTGATAAAATTTGATTAGGACAAGAGTTTAGAATTGATTTAAATAATAAATAATAAAATCAATTGATCGGAAAAGTTACCATTTGTTGTTTTTATATCACAATTCTAAACCAATAGTACAATTTAAAAAAAGAGTACTTGCACATTTCGCTGAAGCTATTTTATAATTTCCAGTTTATGCAATTTTTCCGGACATATCAATTTATATTTCAATCTACAAATATATGAGCCAGACATAAATTAAGCAATAAATAAATATAAAAAAAAATGTGGTGATAAAAGATAGCAATAAAATGATGGACAATAAAGGAAGAGATAGAGAGAAAGAAGAAGAGTAAACTATTTTTTTTATCTCATTTAATTTCTTTTTAAATCTCATTTAATGGTATGAAATGAAATCTATTAAATGTAAATTTTTAAATCTTATTTTGTAAATAATTTGTATGAAATAAAGAAATTGTAATATTTCAGAAGTGGAAACGATCGTCATGAAAATTTCATGTGACCAATTTCCGCACATTCCATTCTTTTTTCATTGTAAGTAAAAAAAAAAAAGGAAAGAAAAGAAAAAGAGTGGAAATGATGGTCCATTTGTATACATTTATTTACTTGGCAATCTTATCCCAATGTCATGTGATTTGACCACTGACCATCTCTCTCTCTCTCTCTCTCTCCCTCCCTTTCTCTCTCTCGCCTTATTTATTTATTTTTTTCCCCTCTTTTTTAATGTGTCACTCTAGAATTGACCATTTTCTGGTTTTCTACGATAAATTATGATGTAAAATTTAAATGAAGAATTACAGTTGAAATACGTAAATGAATGCAACGATGGTGAAAAAAATTGATGAAAGATGAGGAGAACATGGATGAAGGATGCAAATATGCTAGCAGGTAAATAAAGGATGTTGATGATGATGAGAGGAAAGTAAAATGATGAAAGATAAAGATCATTTTTAGAAGAGAGGGAAAAGATGACAGTGGATTTATGCAAAATTCTCTTCAAAGGATAACACGAGTGTAAATAAAATATAATAAACAGTTATCAGTAATTTATTATCAACATTTATCACTGCAAACAATTTTAATCCGCCATCATTAATATCCTTTCTGGCCATAAATGGTCAGAAATGATTATCCACTTACTTGTTCACCTAACCATTCCATCATTATCATCATTATCATTATCAGGATTATTATTATTATTCTATAATGCGAACAGATAAATGAGGTAAAAGACGACAGAGCATATCATCATTTTGTGAAACAGACATAGGAAGATTGTCTAAAGAAATCGTTACGGTTCTACAATAATGATAACGTTCGAGAAGTAGTGCACATACACACATACACGTACATACATACATACATACATACACTGTACATACATTATATACACACATAATGTATACATACACACATAGACACACATACACACATATATACAGACATACATAACACACACATACATACACACACATACACACACACATACATACACACATACAAAACGTCGAGAAATCGTTAGTTGTAAGTGGCGGGGAAATGACACATCACTTTTCTCTTCCCTTTTGTTTCAAAATATAATGATTGTTTATCTTTGATCTACGCATTTCATTTTAAATTTAATCAAAAAATGAAGAAAGGAAAACGATGCTGGCGGAAAAAGACGCTGTTTGATTTAGATACGTACGTCATTTTTGATTTGAGAGGAAAGTCATTTGACTAAGGTCAATGGATGTGTGTGGGTGTGTCTGTATGTGTGTGTGTGTATGTGTGTGATTATGATCACAAGCAATTAGGACTGCAAAGTTGATAATAGGCTAATCAGATATTTTGGGATGAGAAAAAGATGCAAGTTTTTTTTTTTGGCAAATATTTCATTTGCTTCTTTAATTTAGCAATGACAATGTCTTATCACTTCAGGAAGATTGATGATATCACATAATTTTTAACAGATTATAGAGAGAAGCTGTCGTTAGCTGCTAATGATGAGATATTGGATGATTTAATAATGAAAATATATGATATCATTATATGAATATGTTATAATGCTAATTAGCTTCTATGAATTTTACAGTGATTTTAATAGATTTACCTCTTCCAATGTTTATTCCATACAGAGATTTAATTCATCAATATTATGTTTCTGCCAACATATCATCTATTCAAGTATAAGTGAATTAAAATCTTGATAAGAAATAATTAAAATTTAAAGAATTGTCATATGAAAATAGCAGGTAATAAAATTAGAAAGCTCATATTCCTTTTCTTGCCAGGTAAATTGTCTTACATAAAATTATCTAAATTCATGATAATGCAACTCTCTTACTTGTCTGGAGGGACAGAGAAAGGGGAAAGAGAGAGAGAAAGAAAGAAGGGGAGAGTGTATAAAATTTTCATTTCTTTAGATGAAATGAAAATTCGGCAAAATATATTTGAAGTTAGTTCTTCTTCATACTTTTTTTAATCATCAAACTATTCGATCATGCAACATAATAGTTCTCTTCGAGCATAACGTAGCGGAAAATGTATTCGAGATGACGTAGCATGAATAAAACCTTCTCGTTAACTGAATGAATAGTGATGTCAATCGTGATCGGAAACCACTTATTAATGAGCAATATGTCCAATAAATGTTAACTTTAAACTTCTAAGGAGCTATAAAAGAGGCATATCTAACCT